CTCTCACTCTCTTTTTTGTGTGTGTCTTCTCAGTTGTTGAGTCAGCAACTGAGATGATTCTGATGGTTCTGTCATTCTGAGTGCCTGGTTTTGCAGCAGTAACCATTGGTTTTGATGAATTTATTTTTTTTGGTTGGTTGATTTGGTTTGGATTTTTGACCTAATGCTTTGTCAGGCAGTTGCCATGTGTATTACAGTAGTTGCTGTAGCTTGGCAGGCTGTTTGCTGGCAGTGCGTGGTAGAGTCAGCCCTCTGGGGTCAGTCTGAGCAGTAGAGTGCCAAGAGTGTCATCGACTTGGGTGGAAACTGGGCAGTGTTTTCAAACTGAATTCGAGCCTTTTCAGGCCACCAAGCCAGCTTATCTTCAGTGCATTGCCAGTCGCCCCACTTGTGTCTGGTAGCAGCACCGTGAAGACCAGTCCCAGTCCTTGAGATGGTAACCTGGGGGGAGTGATGCCACTCTCTCTCATTGCAGCCTTCACTCAGGTAGTGTGGGTTGCCCTTTGGTTTGACTACCGCCGGTTTCCCAGGCCTGTTTGTTTTCCAAGACACTTCATATGGCATCTGTGGAGTCTGGAGTGGAAGTCATTGCTTGCTTAGAGAGCATCCCTTTCCAGTGGTATTGGCTACAAGGGAGAAGGTACCGTGAAGAGCGGTTCCTGTCCACCCTCACAGCAAAAACCCAGGCACCCTTTAGTGATGCTCCAGTGCCCTTGAGCTGCCAGCAGCAGTCTGGTTCATTCCCCTCTGTCCTGCACACGTGGCTGTGTGGGCACATACAGATGTGAACACCAGGGAGAAGTACCTCGGCTTAGCAGCGTGTGAGACTGGCATACTTACTTATTTTCCTCTTCCCTGAAATAGAAGGTGAAAGAGTTTTAAGAAAATGGATTGTACCTCTCAACTTTAAATCTTTAAAAATTGTTCCTTATTGAGAGTTTAATAGTTTTTTAAATGTAAACTCGGGAAAATATTTACTTTTCAAGCATGAATATCCTTCTGCTTTCTCACATCACTGAAAGTGTATTATTTTTTTCAGTCCATTGAATTCCAGGGATCGCTCATGTTAAAAGTCAATGTGGTTTCCAGCGTCAGAAGATGTAAGGTTTTGTGTTTATGGTTAGAATCCCTTCTGGCTTCTTTTCCTGTGTGATATTAGCCAAAAAATTTTCAGATGCATATATCTCAAAAGTATTCAGGTGCTTTCCCAAGGATATGAGGTAATTAGATCAAGGAATGGTCTTCAAAAACTGTCACAGCCCCAATTCTGGTGCTGTTATTTACACAGATAAAGGCTTGTGTAACAACAGTGGGAGGATAAGCCGCAAGCCTCAAACAGATGAAACTCATAGACTTAAATCAAAAAGAACACGGGTTTTGTTTCTTTGAACTTGGAACTTCTACATTTTATTGCTGTGTGATTAAAACACTGGAACAGAATTGCTCATTTCCTTTTTGCTGCCTTTTTATAGCTACAAGTCCCAATCCGAGTATCTTGCTCTTATTATCGGCATTGCACCTACTCAGTGCTCCTTGCTTGACTTTGTTGACCCCCCTTCACTGCAGCGGAAGCCTATCCAAGTGAGCAGTGTGGGTTTGGATAGAGGAGCAGCACTCTCATCTGCTAGAGGTAGTACCTCGGAAGTTCCAGGTTGTTCTTCAGATCTATGTGGCTGTTGTTACATACCCCTGTGCACAATCAGAGGTCAGCGTATGTAGCTCCGATTGCCTAACCATCAAAACTGTGATCAATTTGGAACTCTGTGATAAAAAAAAAAAACAAAAAACAAAAAACAAAAAACCAACCCATGCTATTTAGATCAGTGCTTCAGAACCTGAGGCGGTTCATGAGACCAACCGGTTGGTGACTGGAACTGTTCCCATGTAATGACGCTTTCTGTATGAAGTTCCATCAGGGTGTCTGATGCCCCATGAGAACTGTTGGAAGACTGGTGAAGCTCCACTAGCCCAGAAGGCTTAGGAGGCACTGCTTGAGGTGCTAAGAAACAGTTGTGGGTGTCTGTCTATAAAAGAAGTTGCCCTCAGTGTCATTCCCCAGGTTTATAATAAATTAACACAGAGTTGCTGGAAAAATTGATCATAAAAACAAAGTGGCAGTTTTGCTGTGGCAGGGTTTTAACATCATGCCGTAGCACGTTGGGTGGGTTTTCTGTTGGATTCTTTCCACTTAGGAAAAAAAACTTTCTGTAAGTTTGTCACAGAGATTTATAGATCTCAGTATTTAAAAATGGGCCATTCCATCATTCCCAGGCACATGCACACTAAAAATATTAACAAATCCTTTAAAATAAATAAGCCTCTTGACCATTCGGCTACTCAGGGGTAAACAAAAAAATATCCCCTTTCAACCCCAATCGCTTCCTTCATACTTCTGCCTCGTAGTTTGGGAACACAGAGATTCCTTACAGCATGTCCTAAATCTTAGCACATTGGGTTACTTGCCTGAAATAATGGATGGTGTGTGCTTCAGATCACGGGAGTGTGGTGCAGACCAGGGCACCCGGTGAGCATGTTTGTGCTGTGAGCCTGTCTCAACAGCTTCCCTTCCAGAGGAGCAGAAACGTGCCTGTGTTCCTCCCCTCATTTTCCCTAACCTGCGTGTTCGCCTCTGGTTCAAGTCCTAGGAGCTCGTAAGCAGTGATGAACTCTCAAGCACAGTCTTAGCAGGGGAAGTGCAGTGGAAAGATAAGTTGCATCCTCATCCAGACACTGAGGAGATGTGGCTTCTCCTTGGACTCCACCATCAACCCCGCTTAACGCACTGAAAAGGGGAGATAGGAAGTACAGCATCAGGAATCGCTTGGTATGTTCTCGTGGCAGAAGAGAGCTTGGCTTTTGCACCGTGCAAGGAGCCATCCTGATCCTGCAGCAGTTTTGGGTTTCAGGAGTGGTGGGCTACAAGGAGTAAAAATCTACAAAGTTGTTCCCATCCGGAGATTACCCGAGTGCTGTTCTGGCCTGCTCTGTGTGCAAATTGATGCCCTCCCCCAGCAGTCCCATGGTTATTCACACCGGGGATGTTGGAGAGACTCCTTTGGCTGTCCTGTGCTTTTAACCACATAGCAGAGGAATATGTGATGCTCCAGACCCAGATTCCTCTTTCTGTGTCATTAAACCATTAGCAGCATTCACTGGATGTCTAAAACCTGCTTTAAGTTGCGTTGACTACTTTGTCACTCCCTCATATCTAAGCACTGCATTCTTTTCTTTGTCTTTTAGCTAGGAGGAAATGTAGTACGGGGTTGATATCCTGTTCATCAGGTTAAAAAAAAAAAAAAAAAAAATTTATGAAAGATCAAAAAAAAAAAAGGAGAGTTCGCTTTAAGTTGCGTTGACTACTTTGTCACTCCCTCATATCTAAGCACTGCATTCTTTTCTTTGTCTTTTAGCTAGGAGGAAATGTAGTACGGGGTTGATATCCTGTTCATCAGGTTAAAAAAAAAAAAAAAAAGTTTTATGTCAGATCTAGAAGACAATAGTAGAGTCTGCTTTGGCAGAGTGGTGTTGGAGGTGATGGACCTTACTTGTCCCTTACATGCATCAAAGGAGAGACTTGCATGAAATCAAGAAGCCAGTTTCTGCTATGTCAAAAATGGGCAAAACTCCCTCAAAGTAGCAGAAATTGCCATTTTATCTAGTCACAGGGAAAGTGTCTGAAAATTATGCATGAGACCTTAACTCCATAATGGTGTTTCCATCTTTCGGTAGGCAGCATCATGTTTAAAATAAGGACAAATCAGGAAGCTGAACTGCAAATGGAAGTTACTGCAGAAACATGTGATGCTACAGAAATGGGATGTGGGTGGTTTTTTTAAGACAGCATTTCTCATTTTCCCAGCAAAGCGTAAACCCAGATGGCGACTGTTTACTTTCCTTGGTTCCCCTTGGATTAGCCTGGCTGTGAAAGTCAAGCCTGACCTTTTCTTTTTTGTTGGACTTCAGACGTGCTTCTGGAAGCCTGCAAGCACCCAGGGCTCAGGTGTGGAGGAGCTGCTCGCTGAGTCACAGCCGTGCAGTTTGGGGACAGAGTCTAAGCCTCAACTCCGCGTTCCTCCTTCTCGCGCAGTTGTACTAGATTCATCATGGCTTCTAAAAAACAAGCAAATGGTTGTAAACAATATTCTCTTTTAAAAGATCACAGGCTGGTAATATTCTCTACTAAACAGTAAAATCCAGAACGTAGTAAGTATTGATGATTAAGATGTCAGGGGCCCGTGGAGCTGCCGCCATGATTTAGTTCCCTCCGACTTCCTCAACTACCAATGCATTTTGCTAATTACATCATAGATTTTCCTATTGATGAACAGAATCTGAATTAACACGGGATGCACTAATGTTACCCTTTCACTATTATTGTTGTACAAGAAGCCGTGGCAGATGCTGGCAGTTAGTTACACAAACATTAGTATTAACGATTGGCCATTTGGAATTGGTGACAAACTGCCGCCCGCTGGAATCCTGAGCCTGAAACCAATCAGGAAGTTAATGAGGAGAGAAATTACCACTGCAGCTTCCCCTTAATTATATTCACGGTAGGCAGGAAGGGAGTGTTGGGGGTGGATCTCAACTCATCTAAGGTTAGGAAGGTCAGAGACCCTTTTACTTGGTTTTTGTATCTACTGCAAATTGCAATGTTGCAACCGTTCCTAGCACTATATTAGTTTTAAATTCTTTAATATTTGGCCTTAGCCTCGGGCTGCCCGAGCTAGGGCCTTAAGTCCGTAGGCAGGTTTGTTTTGGGGGGGGAGGGGGTGGTTAGAGGGGTTGTGGCCCCCGAGTCCTGATTGTCTTCCCCCCCCCCCCAACTTCCGTACCCCCTCTGCGTTCTCCATGGCTGGAGCAGGGAGGCCGGCACCCCACCGTGCAGGGGGAGGACACCCCCTCGCCCCTCATCCCGGGGAGGGGAGTCCCGCCTGTGTCCCCTCTGTGGGGCGCGGATCTCAGGCGCTGTGCTTTTTTTTTTTTTTTTTTTCTTTTTTGGACTCCGGCCTAGGGTGCCTGTCCAGCAGCGAGAGCACTAAGGGGGAGCTGGAGTGCGAGCCCCCCCCGGAGCCCGGCGCCTTCCCGGTGAGCCCTGTCCTGGAGGGCGGCGAGTAGCCAAGGCTCGGCTCGGCGCAGCGGCCCTCGCCCGGGGCAGGGCGGTGCAGCAGCGTTCACGGTTTGCTTGTTCTGCTTGAAGGGGTGGGTG